AATAACACTAATTTTTGTAACTTGTCAAATAATTAATCGATAGTCATTGTTCATACCATAACTAACCAAAATTTTGACTCGCATACTTCATTATATTATAAGTCCGAAGTAGGACTAGACATCGAATCGCTCCTACTTCAGACTTGCGGGACTTATTGGACAGATCCCTTTTTAAGAAATTCAATCAGCGTTAGTTTTCTCGACATATCGATATATATGACACCTTCGATTTGCTAAAGCTTCACGATCATGCTGAATCACTTCGAATAAATTACAACTTAGACAAAGTATACCACAACTTCAATTTTTCGTTCACAAATGCTTGAAAGGTATCACGGTGTCATTTCTCCCAACCTAGTTAAATGAAGAAGTTTGGTTGTGTATGCGTGCTAGTATAAGTCTGAAGTAGGACTAGACAAACGACTCCCTCCTATTTTAGACTTGGGAACTTGTTGATATGTAGAATTGGGGTGGGGGTGGGGGTGGGGGGGGGGGGGGGCTTGTTGATATGTATATCTCATCGACCATTTAGAAATGGTTCAGCCATTTCTTGACAGTTCGGCCATTTCCGGATGATTCGGCCATTTCATGAGAGTTTGGTCGTTTTATAATGGTTTCGCCTTTTTGCTATGGTTAGGCCGTTTTTTGGTTTGCTCCATCTGAAGACAAAAATACACCTATCACCTCAGATACATTTCATATGCTTACCTTCCCAATGCACAACTGTTAAGCTTTCTCCCCCAAAAAATAAGGTACATCTGATTACACTACATATACACCTCTCAAGACACTTTTAAAATAAGCTCATATCTCTCTCACTCTCTCATACGAATCAAAATCGAATAAAGAACTTCCGCTAATTTAACCATCAGAGGGTTCTCTCGATTCCTGCATGGTTATGTTGTATTTCAGGTACAAAACTCGAAATCTCACTAGTATCGTCGAACTCGAGACCTTTATCGAGACTTGGAAAATATGAGAATCAACAACACAAATCAAGGTATGTCATATCATAAGCATTCGTATAATTCCACACACAATCACATAAAACATATGCTAGCACACGTAAACCCAATCAATTAAATTCCCTCCGAGAGATTTGTTTTTAGTTGACCTAACATTGATCACTTCTCTTTGAGAGGTCTATAATGGTCCTACATCCTTATACTTCAATCAAATTCCCTCTGAGAGGTTTTTTTCTAGTTGTAATACATATAATAAACAATCCATATACTAAGTAAGTTCATTAGAACTTACCAGATTTGAAGACGAGATAAAAATCCACAAAACAAGCTAGAGGTATCAAGTACTCCCCAAAATTACATAAAAATTAAACATAATTTAGTAATTAAGGTAAACATATAATTCACACTTCTCTAACAAGTCTTCTTGGTCTAATAAAAACTAGCCTAGGAGTAAAATACCATTTTGCCTCTCCAAGGCCTAATATAGACATTGTTGACCAAAAGTCAACTTCGGTTAAAAAGTCAACTTAGTATGTCATATCACTGCGACAAATACAAATACAGGGTTGCGATGCTAGCAAATAGGCAACAAAATAGTTGCGATCTGCTCGAAAGATGTTGCACTACTAATACTAGGTTCATAGAGCAAACCTCGCGGATCGACCAACTTTTAACCAAGTCTTAATACTTTAATATTTAAGCCCTAAACTTCCGTACTCATTAAAATATGGTCTTAAAGGATAAAATTTCCCACTTTATCCATTTACGTGTCCTTAATACCATTAATCCATGTCTAGGTAAAAATGGGACCAAAAAGCTCATAACTTCCTTCATGGACCAACTTCCAAGATAAAACTCTCATCTTAACACCATAATTGGTTCAAAAAAAAAACATAAAAACTCAACCTTTAAGGTTGGAGTTCTTCAAACAACAACCTAAAATCCTTCAAACAACCAATACAAGTATAAAACTATGGATCTAGACCTAATAACTAATAAAGAAGAAGGCTTGATGGCACACCCCCGAACCAGGACTGCGGAAATGTGGGGGGGGGGGGGATGATGTCATTGTACAGTATCATAACAATTGTATATAAATAAAACATAGCAACAAAAAAATGTATACATTTAGATTTAGAGTACTACATTGTTTACAACACAACTGTTCGAAAGTTAAACACAAATAACAAAAGTAGAAATAACCTAATGCAGCGACGCCGAGCCTCGATCGTGGTGAATACCTGTCTACTAGATCCCTGAGAATACAAGTCGTTTTGATAAGCGTCAACTAAAAATTTGGTGAGTTCATAAGCATTTTTGTAGGTAAAACGTTGTAATAACTTTGTTCATAGTTTGTTGTAAAACTCCAGAAAATCCAAAACTTTCTATAAAAAGTAGTTTATGAGTGTCGTTCCAAAATCGTGTATGTTTGCATGCATATCCTTTAGTTTTCCTTTTTTTTGTTACTGAAAAGAGGGTGTTCCCAGAAAATCCTATATTTTCTATATACAAAGATGTCGTGGTCCTCAAACCCTAAAACCGGAATTGTGAAATCAGATTCACAAAATATATGAATATAGTTATGGATTTTTGTAAAGCTAGCAGAGTGAGTAGTCTTTGTAAGATCGTGTATAGTTGTGTGCATGTTCCTTGGTTTTCCCTTGTTTGTTTTCGAAATGAAAGTGTTCCCAAAAAATCATATATTTTCTGTATATAAAAGATGTTGTGGTCTTAAAAAAAAAACTTAAGATCAGAGTTGTGAAATCAGTTTACCAAATATACGAAACAGAGTTCTGTATGTTATAAAACCAATGGGGTGTATGTTCCACGTAATTCCAATGTCACTAGGACCTTACTCTATGTGAATCATTATAACCATAAAGATATGACGAGAACACCTACCCTAATGTTTTTCAGGTGTCAGATACTGTCTAGATATTTGTCACCTTAGACTGGCCGATCTAGCTGTGGCGAACAACACATGTGTGGGGTGTCAACCCCTATATAGATCCATACACAATTATCCCGCTCCCCCTCTAGGGGACTCTGGTTATAAACACAGGACTTACAATGTACCTAGATAGGTACGGTGAAGAAAACAAAACTAATCTCACAAGAGCCTTAATGGAATGTACGCAAGTTTTTGTCCCTTTATTAAATAATGCAAATAACGTTTTCCTTGTGTAAAATTATGACTGCAACTTTATGACACGCGTTTTTCTTCTTTATGACATACAGCTTATCACTTGTGTTTTTGAAAGTTTTATGACGGCTGTTTATGACATGAAAATAAATCTGTCATAAAAGCTCTGTTTTGTGAATCTTCTTGATAAAAATTATTTATTTTTAAATTTATAAACAATCACTAATATTTTGTCAACTTGCAAAGGGTTATAAATATGACATAATGTTCTAAGTTTAAAACCCTTGAAATGGTATCAGCATTACAAGATTGTTTTACTGGTAAGATTTATTTTTAGAAAAATAGCCATGTTTTGTAGGGTGTTTTAACATACCCAAAATTTTATGGAGATCTTTGCAAACAAAATGTTCTCTTCTTGTTGTGACTAAAATAGTTTCACTAGTTCCACCAAAATCTCATATAAATCCATGAAATTTATTATGTCTTAAAGTTTGCACAAGTTTTAGTAGTAAAAGTATTTTTAACCACAAATTACCATTTCGGTGTAACTCATCATATATTTACCTACTAGCTTAGTTTTATGTTTAATATAATACAAAATACGTAAATCTATACAAAGATAACTTAGTTCTAACATCATGAGGTTTGTGAAATCTCAAGTTTATGAAGTATTAACAAGAAATAATAACATTTCAACACATATAAACACCTAAACATACAAATATATGCAATTATCCAAGGATTTAGATACGATTTAACTTGTATTCCCCCCCCCCCCCCACTCCCCAAAAGAAATGAAAACTTGAAAAGAGTGGGGTATGAAGTTCACCTTGGTTTGATTTGGTGGATGATTTGGATAGATGTTAAGAAGTGTTCAAGTCCTAACACTTGAAGAGCTTGATAACTCTTTGAACTTTAGAATATCCTAAGAATATTAACACATAATTTTATGTGTAAATATCATGAAATAACTAAAAGAATATGATAAACTACTTAGATAAACATGAAATACTTACAAGATCTAGTAGAGGCTTTGAGGAAATAAGGCTTGAAGCTTGAATATGTGGGGAGTGATTTAGGAGTTTACAGAAAGTGAATGTGATCAACGGGAAGTAGTTTACGCTCAAAAAGGATAATAGGGTGACTTGACACTTGCTTGGATTACTGATGGATAAAGCTTTGTTATATAGGGTTAACACATGTTTTACTGGAATTTGCATGGGATATTAGCAAAAGACAACTCATCAACCGTAAACACTTAAAATATCTAAGTGTTTATGCCCAAGATGCTCCTAGGGAAGTGTTCATGGTCAAGGTTTGGAATCTTTATGGATTTTACGCCCTAGATGTTGCCTAGGAAGGTGTTCATGGTCAAAGTTTGGAGTCTTTATGGAGTAGTTTACGACCAAGAGACCTCCTAGGAAGGTGTTTACGACCTAGCTAAGGCTCCTTAAAGTAGTTCATGGCCAAAGGCGGTCCACTAAGGGTGCTCACGGCCAAGCTATGGCTTGTTAATGTGTTCACGGCCAAACCATGGTCCATTAGAGGGGTTTATGGCCAAGGGTACTTCTTTAAAGATGGTTACGGTCTTGGATGGGTCCTAGGAAGGTTTTTATGGTCTTAATTAATAGCAAACACAATTTTGTTGTCCTTATAAATTAATTGCTTAAGATTGTGATACAATTACAAGTTCTTGTGTCTACACCATATGATCCTTAATCAAATGCATTTATCTAGTTTTACCTCACTAAATTTTGTTTACTTTCAAGAGGTTAACTTGTATGTGACTTCCAAGGTGCATACTTCCATATACATGCACTTATACTCTAATGGTTTTCAAGGTTCTCCTTGTAATAGGGTTACAATTTAGACCTTGTTGGATCCAAATATTTCGGGTTGTCACACTTGAAGACTTAGGGGCTGTTTGTTTACCTCTTAATTGCAAAATTAAGAGGCAATGTCTTAAAATTTAAGATTCAGAGCGTTTGTTTGTGTATTAATTTTTACCTCTTAAAACTAAAAATGCCTCTTGTTTTTTCAGATGGCAAACAAAGTCTGAAAATTAAAAACGAATGCGCGTTTCTATTTGCCCTAAACGATTCGACCACCTCTTTTCTTTTCTTCCCTTCCACTCTTCTTGCCTTGCATCATGTTCTCTTCTCTCCTCCCAGCGACGCCGCCACGGAAGACACCGTCGGCGACCCCAGCGACGAAGCCCAGCGACGACGCCCGCCTTCCTCCGCCGCAACCCATCTTCTTCCTCCGACGACGCCACTGAAGTCATTACCGACAGCAGGTATATTTTCAGTTTGTTCCTTCAGTTTCTTCCTTTTTTCCATTGAATACATTAGTCGTTTAGTTTTTCTTCCTTCTTTCTCCTCAAAGCTGAAAATCAAAAAACAAAATTGTTATGCTATATTTTCTGATTTGTTCAATCAGATTCAATATTTGATGTTATGCTATATTTTGATGTTAGATGCTTGATTATGATGTTATATGCCCAATTATGATGTTATATGCCCAATTTTGATGTTATATGATAGATTATATCCTTAATTTTGATGTTCATTCTTGATGTTATGTTTGATTTTTTCTATTCATATATTTATGTTTAATGTTGTTATGTTTGGGTATTATGTTGAAATGTTGTTGCTGACATATCTATTAGTTTTGTTCTTGACATATCATGAAATACTCATTAGTTTTGTTGAATTGTGTATTTGTTTTGTAGAAGAAGTTGTTGAAAATGTGTCTTTGTATTGTTTAAATTGTTGTTGAAAACATGTATTTGCAATGCTTAAGTAGTTGCTAAAACATACGTTTTTTGTTGAATTGATCAAAGAAATAGGAGAAAAGAAGGATAGGATTAGTTGGAAGGTTGAAGGTGTAGAGAAAGCGTTTCTAGAAGCTTGTTTACGTGAAGTTACAATCAATGTACGGGAGGGGAGTAGTTTGAAAGCACTGTCTTGGAGGAATGTAGCTGGAACATTAAAAATTGAACATAACTTTATTATCGACCAAAAACATATGAAGAACCACTATGACTATCTAAAGTCAAAGTTTGGTGCTTTTTTGAAGTTAAAAAACAAAACCGGCAATGTGTACACTGCAACAACCAATACCTTCAATCTTTTCAAAGAAGAATGGGAACTAGAAGCGAAGGTATTTTGTTAATTTATAAACAATAGATTATCATGTTTAAATAGTAAAATATTTTTTCCAAACAGTCAAACAAACATGCGGATTCTTTGAGATGCACACCACTATCGTACCCCGACCTTTGCACACAGTTGTTTGAAGGCGCGACTGCGACAGACATTCATAGTTGGGGGCCAACTTCTACCCTTCCCCATCCTACTCAAGAGTCAAGCCACTATAGTTTGCATGACTTTGACGACATTGATTGCACTCAACAAGAAACTGTAGGTCTCAGTGACGAGTCATCCGCTCAATAAAAAAAAAAGACTACAGATTCGAAAAAGAGCCAAAATAAAAGTAAAGATAACGGTAAAGATGCATCAAATTCAAGATTGCTTAAAATCGGGGAAGATATTGCAACAGTTGCTAAGATATTTGTGGAAAAACATACTTCTTCAAATTTGGGTGCATGTATGGAAAAGTAAAAAATTCACGTTAACTAAAAGATTCACGTAAAGCATTAAAAACCCAGAAACAAATAAAAATGGGAAGATAATCACAATCAAAACCCCTACTGAACAATAATTCTTCAATGAGATGCACAAACCATGCACACTATGAGTTTGTAGAAGGAATGGGAGGAGATTATGGATGTATTTATACTAATAAGTCAACAATAATTGTGAATTAGGGTTGTAGGATGATTCACAAAACATACCTATAATAGCCACCACCGGTAATGAAGAAGACGTACCTATAAAACGAAGGAGCAACAACGAAGGAATCATGCATAGATATTGAAATGGTTGTTCTTATGTGGGGTTTATGAGATATTGGGAAAGGTCAAAGAAGGAGACATGCTGAATCGAAGCTTATTAAGAGCAACATACCTGACATTAATTTCCATGGATGAATCAGGCAACAAAAAGAATGGCAATCGCAAAGTCAGAAGCAATAGTATACACAGGCAAATCAGAAGACGGAAGAAATTGAAGCAATCGATAGAAACATGGAATGATTTATAGGCAAATGAAGCAATTGTTTTTACCAATTGAAAGATGTAAACATCTAACATCGAACCATCAATATATAGGCGGATGTGGATGAACTGATTCAACAGTTACCAAAATAGAGGCATGGACGTAATTGTGGTTAGAGATGGAATCGTGGGTAGAAGAAGCAGTACCAGATCAAATGAATTGCAAACAACCGCCAAATTGGAGTTTATGGCGCTCAGATGAAAAGTTGATTGAGTTTTAACGACCACGATTTAGATGACTGTTTTCCACTCACTGTCGTCCATAGGGTTTTGAATAAAACTCACTTTCTCTTGTGTGAGCGAGAAGAACATAAGGGGCAGAAACCGATGAGGCTTCAGGCAACCTCGTCGTGATCTGAGGAGGCAACGAGCAAAACGCTTGCTTCACCATTCACGCCACTTAGACCAACCACCCGCATCCACCATCTGATCCTACCCTTCTATGCGACATGGATTCAATTTCGTGAGCAGCGACCAAATCGCCTGGTCATCCAAAATTAGAATCGCTGCCATTGCGATTCTTCGCTGTATGTTTGAAGCGACTTTGCTAAGATGAGATCGACTGGTCTTTCAGTTATGTCGATTTGAATTCAATTTTACCATTAGGTTTACCTAATCTAACTCACACTCTGATGATTTCCACCTTTACACAAGTATGTATATTGACGTGTTTGGCTTTATATATATATATATATATATATATATATATATATATATATATATATATATATATATATATATATATATATATATATATATATATATATATCTCTATAGTAATAAAAGCGTAGTTCTTTTGCCATGTGTCATCATATTAGATATCTTAATTAATGTGTTGCCATTTGTCAATATATTAGTTCTCCATTTTTATTTTTTTAGACCTCCTCATTAATGTGATACTATTTGACAATGTATTTATTTTCTATTTTAAGATTTAAATTTTATATTAATGTTTTCATTAATTCGCAAATAAAAAATGTCTAATATATATTAAAAATTAATTTTACATATTTATTTGAATCAACGATTATAATTTCGCATAACTAACAAAATATATCTTAAATTAATAATTTATTTAAAATAACTGATTAATAATTTTGGGTTTTTACTATAAAAGTTTAATTAGTTTTATAACCATGGTTCCCACGGGTTATAAACTAGTATATATATATATATATATATATATATATATATATATATATATATATATACTAGTTTATAACCCGTGGGATATATATATATATATATATTAATATATATATATATATATATATATATATATATATATATACTAGTTTATAACCCGTGGGAACCATGGTTATAAAATTAATTAAACTTTTATAGTAAAAACCCAAAATTATTAATCAGTTATTTTAAATAAATTATTAATTTAAGATATATTTTGTTATATATATATATATATATATATATATATATATATATATATATAGGGAATATACATCACAGCCCCACCTAAGCTTAGGTACTAAACCTATAAAATATATCGTCTTAACTTAGTAATTATACTCGATTTGGTTTTCACTTGGTCAACATGTCATCCCTAATAACATTTTTTCAATCTATTATCGTTTTACAATCCTTGTTTTTTTTTCCCTCTATTATCGTTTATTACTTCACCCTAGTAAACAGTATTGTTTTCCATCATCACGAAGGAAGAAGATAATCAATGTTTTTGCTTCCTTATCTAAACTATTGTGTACATCATGAAACTACATCTTTAAGTGTTATTCGTGAACCCCTAATCGTAATCTTTATATAGTAAAACAACGTATTTTCATAAGGTTTAGTACTGAAGCTTAAGTGATGCTGTAATGTATATTCACGTTTCCCATATATATCTTGATTCTTTAAAAGAATCGATTTTGAAACCTTGATTTTCCAAAGTTAAACTTTTCAATTCCATTGATGAATCTAATCAACCGAATTGATGGATATGTGTTGTAGTCGCTTAAAACTTCGTTATGCAGCTACCCACGAAGAAAATGCACGATTAATATCCATTTACCAAACATATTGCAAACTGCAGAGTATGTTTACTGTTTATATATATATATATATATATATATATATATATATATATATATATATATGTATATATATATATATATGATAACATTGTCATATGATTATATCAAAGAGAAATTACAAGGGTTCTCAGAGAAAAGCATAAAGGCTACAAGGAATAAAGCGGATATAAATACTAGCTAGATAGAAACCTTAATGGGCTAAAGACAAAAAAGGGCCCATAAACAAGCGGACTAATAATATAGACTAACATCCCCCCTCAAACTCACAATGCCGCAACAATAAGCATTGAAAGTTTGTCACATAAGAACCAAACCGAGAAGCCGATAAAGCCTTCGTAAAAATATCCGCAAGCTGCAAAGTTGATGAAACAAAGGGAAGCAAAATGGTCCCAAGCTACAGATGATGACGAGTAAAGTGACAATCAATCTCAATGTGCTTCGTCCGCTCATGAAAAACAGAATTCTTCGCAATTTGTATCGCACTTTTATTATCACAATTCAAGGGAGTAGGTGAAGAAATGTAAACTCCCATATCCGCAAGAAGCCATCGTAACTAGATAATCTCGCATGTAATTATAGCCATAGCACGATATTCAGCCTCTGTGGAAGATCTAGAGACAACATCATGTTTCTTGGTCTTCCATGAAATAAGAGACTCTCCAAGAAATACACAAAATTTAGTGGTAGACTTACGATCATGATGATCACCATCCCAATCAGCATCACTATAGGCACGCAACTCAAGAGAAGATGTCGAGGAAAACAAGAGAGTCTGAAACTGAGTGCCACGAAGATATCTCAGAATAAGAAGAACAACTCCCCAATGAATAGAAGTAGGTGCAGTAACAAATTGACTGACAATATGAACAACATGAGCAAAATCCGGATGAGTGACTGTGAGATAAACCAAACTTCCCACCACAGTACGATAAAGATTCGGATCAGACAATGGAACACCATCGGTAGGAGAGTATCGAGCATTGGTTTCAAGAGGGGTTTCAACAGTACGATTATCAGAAAGTCCCGCCCGTGTAAACAAGTCAGATATATATATATATATTTAGTCTGGGAAAGAACGTACCCTTTCTTAGACTGAGCGACCTCAATACCCAAGAAATAACGCAGCAAGCCCAAATCCTTCATAGCAAATCGACGAGCTAGATCATGGTGCAAGGACTCAATACCACCATGGTCATCACCTGTAATAATCATGGCATCCACATATTAGGACAAAAGAATCCATCCTGCACTCGAGCATCTAACAAACTGAGCAGAATCGTAATTACTTTGGACAAATCTAAGAGAGGTAATCACTGTGGAGAATTTCTCAAACCAAGCATGAGGGGCTTGCTTGAGCCCATACAAAGCTTTGCGAAGCCGACAAACCTCGCCTGGTCGATGCTGAATTCCTGGAGAAGGGGTCATATAAACCTCTTCATGATGGTCGCCATTCAAAAAGGCATTCTTGACATCCATTTGAAAGATCTTCCACTGTCGAACGGATGCAACTGCAATCATAGTACGAACTGTCGTCATCTTCGCAACTGGGGCAAATGTCTCCTCGTAGTCAAAACCATACTGTTGGGAATACCCTTTTTCTACAAGTCTAGCCTTATATCGTTCAATAGAGCCATCGGCTTTTGTTTTTATGTTGTACACCCAACGACAACCTATAGTATGTTTCCCAGGAGGAAGAGAAACCAAATCCCATGTATGAGTCTGATGAAGAGCAGTGAGTTCTTCATCCATAGCATTCTGCCAAAGAGGATCTGAAGCAGCTTCTCTATATGATTCAGGTTCAGACAGATGATGGATGCTTACTATAAATGAAGCAAACGGTCCTGAATATGTAGAGTAAGAAAAATCTGGTAGCTTGGTGGACTTGACATGATGAGAAGATCTCCTGAGGGGTGGTGGTGGAGGAGGATCTTCAACTTCAATATCTTGAGGATCGGGCTCAGGAACAGGTGGAGTCGAGGCACCCTCTGAAGAAGTGGGTGTGTCATGTGTCGAGGGATCATGTGGCATAGATGAGTCTTGAGCCTCTATATCTTCATTAAAAGGATCAATACGCAGAAGATCAGACTTTGTTACATTGTGGGCTGCAGCAGGAATCGAGTAGAAAGGAATATGTTCCAAAAAAGTAACGTGTCGAGAAACATATGACTTCTGACTCATAGGATCATAGCAACAGTATCCTTTCTGACCAATCCCATACCCCAAAAATACACAAATAGCATATTTCGGCCCCAACTTGTTCCTTTCAACATGAGGACGAAGAACAAAACAAGTACATCCAAAAACTCGTAAGGAAGAGTAGTATGGTGGATGACCATATAACTTCTCAAAAGGAGATATTCCTGAATTCAATGAAGTAGAGATACGATTAATCACATACACAGCAATTAGGACTGCTTCTCCCCAAAAGGCACTAGGGACCTGCGCAGACAGGAGCAAATAGTGGGCAGTCTCAACAATATGACGATGTTTTCATTCTGCCACACCGTTTTGCTGAGGTGTGTCAGTACACGAAGACTGGTGTATGGTACCATCAGAAGCAAGTAACTAAGTGAAATCAATAGAGGTATATTCTCCCCCTAAGTCACACCTGAAGCACTTAATCATAGATGAATGTTGAGTTTTAACAAGAGCTCTAAAATTGCTGTGAATACTAAAGAAATCAGATCTGCGTTTCATAAGATAAACCCATGTATCGAGTATAATCATCTATAAAAGATACATAATAGGTTGACCCACCCTTTTTGGATACTGGTGCATGACCCCACACATCAGAATGAATAATATCAAAAGGAGTAGTAGAACAAGACATACTTTTATTGAAGGGTAAAGCAGAAAATGTTTCTAGTTTGCAACCACTACAATCATAAATATCACAAGAGTTTAAATGACCCAAAACACCACTAGATGCTAAGAAATTCAACCGTGATACAGACACATGTCCCAAACGAGAATGCCAAAGATAAAACTCAGACGACAAAGGACTCAAACGAAAAGAAGATAAATCAATGCTGGAAGCAGCAACAACAGATACTTTGAGGACCTCCAAGGCATATAGTTCCCCCACCCTACGGCCAATCCCAATCACCTTCTAGGTGTGTTGATCCTGTATAACACAGACAGAATCAAAAAAGAACACCCAGTTACTAGACTTGCATAACTGACTGACTGAGCCAAGGTTCAAAGTAAGTTTGGGAATGTAATAAACATCATGAAGAGTTATATGAGAAACGGAGATAGACCTAACACCCTCAACTAGCATAGATGTATCACTAGCAGATTTAACAGAAATAGATGACACTTGCAACAAAGAAGTAAATAATGACAAATGAGGAGTCATATGATGGGTTGCACCAGAATCTAAAATCCACAAAGATGAGGGAATACCTGAAGTGTCAGATGAAGAATGACCAGAGTAAGACATAGATGCAGACATGGTAGTGGGATTAGAAGCCAAATACTGTCTAAAGCTCTCAAACACCTTGGGATCCAATGCAGATGGTGGCATATGTCCAACAGATTCTATGTCAACTAGTGGAACAGCAGCAACAACAAAGTGTGGAGGACGAGGGGTCCATGGAGGAGTACCAGAGGAATGAGACGGATGCTTCTGTTGACTAGACCTATTTTGTTGCCCTGACTGAGATTGACCAGATTTACCCTTGTTGACTAACAATGGACACTGAGCTTTCCAATGATTCTTCTTTTTGCAGAATGCACACTCATCATAAGCGACTCTTGATCGAGATTGACTAGAGGAGACAGCAAGCACAGCAGGAGCGGGAGTAGGAGTAGAGATTGCTTTAAACCCTTTATCTGCATGGGACTTGATACGAGTCTCTTTTGCAATTAACTCATGGACAACTGAATCCACTAAAGGAAGAGAAGAGCGATAAATAATTGTTCCACGAAGACCTTCAAAATCAGAACGCAAGGCCATCAAGAACTGAACCAAGCGTTGTTCTTCCCTCCTAGAAATGTAAGGCTCAAAATCTTTTAACTCTTTAGATTCAGTAAGAGCCAATTAATCCTAGAGATCAGACATAGCAGCATAGAAATCTTGAATGCTCTGGTCATTCTGTTGAAGGGCACGAATATCATATTCCAATTGGTATTGTTTAGCAAAATTGGACTGAGTATACAGTCTCTCCAAGTGATTCCAAACTTCCATTGTTGTATCATACTTAGCCAACTGTATACCAATGGACTGAGTAACAGGGTTATTGATCCAAGTAATAACCTTGGAGTTATCAGTCTCCCAAGCATCAAGCAACATATCAAAATTCTCAGTTTGAGGCACTGAGGGTTTGGCTTTAGTCCCAGTGACATAGCCCCACATATTCTTCCCACGAAGGAAGTTCTTCATAACGTAACTCCAATACGTATAATTCTTTCCATCAAAACGAGTACTGATTGACTGAAAGGAATCATCCTTTCCAGTCATGTTGATAGTGAATGAATAACCACAATGACAATATAATAATCTGAGAATGAAAGGAGTAACAAACCAGCGGAAGCAATCGAAGCAATTATGAACGGACAGTAGCAACGAACAGACAGTAGCAACGAACCGACAGCAACAACGAATCAACAACAACAACAAATCAATAGTAGCAACGAATCAACATATCAAAAAAGACTAATATCAGTGATTATGAACCAACCGACAACAACAACGAATCAACAACAGTTTGATCCACGCCACGGCTAACTGCTACAAAGACTTCTAACAACGTATCAAACCTCAGCTTTGATACCATGATAACATTGTTATATGATTATATCAAAGAGAAATTACAAGGGATCTCAGAGAAAAGCATAAAGACTACAAGGAATAAAGCGGATATGAATACTAGCTAGATAGAAACCCTAATAGGCTAAAGACAAAAAGGGCCCATAAACAAGCGGGCTAATAATATAGACTAACAATCTATATATATATATATATATATATATATATATATATATATATATATATATATATATATATATATATATATATATATATATATATAAACAGTAAACATATTTAACTGTGATTGAATGGTTAGATTTTTCTGTACCTTTATCCATATCCATATATATATATATATATATATATATATATATATTTCTGAAATACCGACCACTAACCACTGTAATCATACTACTTGTATAAACAGCCCCATATTCAGCCCTCGAAATGTGTTGAGATATTTTTCAAGTTAGTCATTCACTTCATAACACCCCCAAACTGTAGGTTATGCCAAAAGTTATGTAGTATTCTGGATTTCTGTTGTATTTTAAAATAAGGAATGCTTTCTACTATGGTTTATTGGATTCAAACAAAAGAGTGTGTTTATCCATAATGTGTTCACATTTGTTTGTAAATAAAATTTACTCGTTAAGTTCATTTATACACCTAGTAAATACGCCTTAGAAGTTAGTTTTCTGCTGTCATAATTCTGTAAGTTGGGTTTTCTGTATTGATTTCTGTTTCAATTTATGGTGTTGGACTACAGACTATTTATGATGCTTGATGCTGGTGTTATCCTTTTTGCTGGTTTATTTTTATGTTGCAGCATGCATAAAAAGGAAATAGATTTAATTTTCTACAATGTTGATCGATGGATGTTGCTCCTGTCTTAATAGAATGAAGTCGCGATCGTTTAGAAATTCCATCTTTTGGTGGCTTATGCTGACTAGCTAGCAAGCTTTTTGTAAACCATATCTGCAGTGGATTGTCGTGCATGACTTATTTATTATAATAATTATTATTTTTATTATTTTTTATATACATTAACCTACAATTTCTCCTCTTGTAGTTTTGGATTTGGTGAAAACTTAACGATAGGCCCTGCACTGTGGCATCCACAAATTTATTGCTGGATGTGAAGAGACATTTGCATTTGCTGAGATTGTCAAAAAGTTGGAGGATTTGAAAGTTGGTTGTTAATAGAGACGTACACGTATGTGTTGTTAATTTGTAGGTCTATGTTATTACTTCATCTTTTGACATAAACACAACAATACATGTTGATTTTGGTTCACAGTTGTGTCATATGTGGTATTTCACTTAATCTATCATTTTGTAATTCACCCTGAAAATAATTATTGTGGTATCTCTGTTGCTAATGATGCTAAAATAGTCCTTAGGAATGACTGATACAAGATATCTATCTATACACCAACACACTTCAAATAGCTAATTAACTTCTAACACTCTTCATCATTTAATCTGACAACAGTTGCTTCCTGTGGTGCTCCCCGTCTAACTGTTTCTTTATTTAGCCCCTTGCAGTTATAGAAAATTAAATGTTGGATTGATGACATGTTGGTTAACCACATAGGCACTTCTCGTATTCCGAATCCAAATATGTATAACTGAGTAAGTGAGGTGAGGTGTTGTATTTCTTCAGGTATCGACTCCCACTGATCCACACCGTACAATGTTAACGAGTGAAGGTGGTTCCTTAAATTCTCAATGCCTTGGAGACTTGGGAAGGAATCCACCTCTTCTGAGAATGGACCAAGTTCCAACTCATTTAAGAAGGTAAAATAGTCGAACATTTCATGAGGCAAGGAAGTCAGGTTGGTGCAATGTCTAATAGATAAAGTCTTCAAAGAATGACACTCGTTGGGCAAATTGGCTATTACCGAAAGACTTGGACAAGTGCCGATTACTAAAGATTTAAGAGATGTGAGGCCTTGTATGCTCTTAATGGATGCCAGACCTGTGCAGTAAAATATACTTAAGGAAACAAGAGGATGGAGAGGGCATTCATCTAAGAGAATAATGTTTGGGCAATTCTCAATCACCAACTTCTCGAGGACAGGAGATATCATTTTTGAGCTGTTGGGTGCTCCATCTATCCACTTTTCCAGTCTTTCCATATTATATAGCCCGAGAGATCTCAACGATGGAGACAAAGACTTGGTTGATCCCGTAACATCGGAACTCCTTAAGCATGTCAAGTCCTCCATATTCCACAACACAAGATCTCGAAGATGTGGTAGGTGCTCAAGCATCGGAAGAGAGAGGCAGCTCCTACAGTCATATAATGTGAGTGACACGAGCTTGTCAAGGGGCGTCTCCTTCCCTTCGATATTGATTGCCATCTTTATTACCCATTCTGGAAAATTATCACCAGAAAAACTAGTAATTGTCAATATTTTGAGATCTGCAGGGAGTTGCAAGCCTTCCAATACCTCCTTGTCAACTCTGGTGGAGCCTTGACTGTCCACACACCAATTGAATTCAATCTCGCATAACTTTTTCTTTCTAGATAAGTGTGCCTTAACAGCCTTCTCTTTGCTACTAACATTCTCTAGATGTGAAATATAGAGGCTTCCAACAAGGTTATTCAAATGGCGTAGCTCTTCTATACCATGTCCCTTTTTTCTAAGAACTGTGAAGGAAGGCAAAGTTCGAAGAGAAGTCAATAGTCCTACGATATTGGCAGGAATGTTTTTGTAACACTTGAAATATCGCAAGCTTATCAAATTTCTCATGGCTTCTGGAAACTGCTTAATGTCAGCCAACTTCAAAGTTTGCAAGTGGTATAATTTACCAACAGATTCAGGAAGAACATGGATACTCGTATATGTCAAATCCAGATACCTGAGATGCACCAACCCTCCAATTGAATTGTCTAACTTTTGTAATGTATAACATTTAAGTTGTAGGATTCGTATGCAGTTTAATCGCTAAAATGAAAATTTCTTCTCAAGTTCACCTTCTATGAACAATGTACGCAAACTTCTAGCCACTGTATTGCTTTCAATGAACATAGAAACCTCCGCTGCCAATTTATAGTTCTGTTCTTAGTAAAAAGCGAGATGTTTAACCCGAGGAACACATGCGATATCATCATTAGTCGCATCCTCCAGACATAAGCTTTCATGTTTTGAAAGTGATAATGAAAGATCATGCACCAGATCATGCATGCTACAACGAGTGATGTAACCATATTCATCCCTTTTAACATCTTGGAACATCGAATTGCTAACCAAAATTTGAAAAATATCATTCCCCACATCCTCCATCGCCTTGTTTCTTTCCTCATCTGCTTGAACCAACCCCAAAGCCATCCAAAGTTGGACCAGTTCTTCCCTTTCCATGACCGTATCTTTCTTAAAGATGGAACAATATGCAAAGCATTGTTTGACGATAGAATTTGGGAGATTATCAAAGCTTAGTTCCAAGTTCTTTTGAACTCTATCCCTTTCTTCTTCTAGATCCCAAACCTTGCTATTTTTTATGGACAACCACTTTTCTATGTCATTGTAATGTGCCAACATGCCACCTATTACATTTAACAGCAACGGTAAACCACCACATTTTTCTACAATGTCGCCGCCTATCTTCACCAGTTCCGGGGACACTGAAGTGCCTGCCACAAACGCTTTTTCTCTGAAGATGTCCCAACAATGATTGTCAGAAAGACCATTTAAATGACACGCATCCATGTGCATATCATGAGTTCCGATTTCATGTTTCCGTGTAGTGACAAGAATGCCACTTCCATTTTGTGAGCTTACATTTAGCATACAACTCCTAAACTCTTCCCAATATGGCCTCTCTTTGACCCAAACGTCATCTAAGACGAGCAAATATCTTTTTGATGCCAATTGCTCTTTAAGGCTTTCAATTAAATTGGTCCTTAAGTCTGAGGTAGGTTTCTTTTTGGCAAGAGACTCGTAGATCTTTGCAAGAAGTTCATTGATGTCAATCTTAACCGACACACACAACCATGCCTTAACATCAAAATGTTGCTCGATCTTTTTATCATTGTAGACCGACTTAGCCAAAGCGGTCTTCCCAATCCCGCCCATTCCAACAATGGGAACAATGATAATTTTTTCTTCCTTTCTTGATTGGGTTAAAAGTTCAATGATATGGAGTTTATCATTATCCCTCCCAACAATTTTAAATTCTTCTTGATTTGGAACAGTCTCTCTCCAATAGAGACGATCTAGAACAGGGCAAGCAGGGTGTTGATTTTGTAGTCCTAAACTGCTAGCTTCTGTGTTGATCTTAAGCAACTTTTCATTGATGTTTTGGATTTTATGACCTATTTTATAACGAAATGAAAACTTTTTCAAGCTTGGAAGGCACACTACCTTTCTTGCCATCCGATCTTGTTTCTTTATTTGACGCCTCAACATTTCGTAATCAACCTCATCCAACACATCATCAGCTTCATCGACCGCATCTTTTAGCTGCTTCAACCACACCATTACAGCCCTTGTTTCCTTTTTCCCCTCCGCATCGAGCAACTTGGCACGCACCATCTCCAGTTTACTGTGAAGGCTGGTCAGCTTTTCTTCGTAACCCCAAGCGATGGCGAGTTCGCCGGCAGCAATAGACAACACCTTTTTCAGGATCCCCTCAGCAGCAATAGTGACTAATGCTTCGGCCATTTCACTGTTGAGAAGAGAGAGGAAAAGAGGGTGAAAGAGAGAATGTGACGGAGTCTAAGAGCTGGACAGCTGGTAGAGACTCAATGAGTGGAAAAGGAAATCCATTTGTTGGCGTGTGTAGTGGAAAATGGTATCGAATTGGAAGGTGTCTAGGAATTGAGCTTATCTTTCCTATGTTACAAGTTTAGAACAACTACTTGCTTTTCTTTTCTTTTCTTTTTATATTACTTTGTTATTATTTATTTAACATATTAATATATCATAATATTTTATGTTTTAATTGTTAATATATAATACATATTTTATATTGATCTTTGTAACTTGTTTGTTTTTATATATATGATATGTAAATATATATATCTTTAGATTTTAAGCCCTAATTTTTTTTTCTAACTCCATTTCTCTAGAATATGGAAATTTTGTATTAATCGCATCAATGAGAAATTGAGAACTTAATTAAGACAACATTACATAAATGGTCCATATAATTTTCCAAATAACCCCACCCCTCATTTCATCTTCATGCTCAACACCATCCCTCCTTCATCACCGCCACCCTCCACCAGTAAACACCACTCTTTTCATGAATCTGCTCGTTTTCGGCCAACCCACAACCTCCTCCTCCTCCTCCCCCCCCTCTATTTTCCCTCTTCATTTATGTGCTTTCTATTTATGCCTTCTTATAGGTACTGTGGCTTTAAACAAAAATTACGTATAAATTGAGTAAAAATATTTTCTTTATTTCTCTTTATATCAACGTACTTTTCATTTATGTCATTTTATAGCATCCTACGTTCCTTTTATGCCATCTTATAACTACTGTGCCTCTAACTAGATAGTAGGTTGCTATAAATTGATCAAATTGCTATAAATTGAATAATGATCAGGAAGAACAAAATACAATTGCTTAGCTCAAGGTGGAAGGTGGAAAACAGGACATGTCTATTCCAGTATGCATTCATGCTGAGAGATTAGCCAATAGAGAGTTATCGGGCAGCTTAGTTTATCAATCCACATGAGCTTAGCATGGAGATTAGTTTATGAATGGAAATCAACTTTACGAATGGAAGATGACCCAACATTATTTTTTCATTTAAAACTGTAGAAAGCATCGATATAGCATGTTTCATATCTTAAATCTTGGTTTACCATAGTTATCTGTTTCATTATATTTCTACCAATTACAAAAATATCAATGTCAAATTTCAAGATGATTACCAAAAGTAAAAAAAAATAACAAACCATGGTTGATTATAAAACTCAGACCATTGTTGTTTATCAACAATACAAGGCCACAACCATCTTCAAATCCTTACTTTGTGACGCAACAAACACATTAACAATTTCACTCGGTGATCGACTAAACTCTAAAAGATACAATCTCTGATAGTTCATTCCAACCCAACTTTTGTGTTGTTTGATACTCTTGCTGATGAAGCCCTGTAGAATATGATTGAAGCTTTGTAAAAATTAGGAAGAATCTGTTTGAATATTTATCTAAAAGTTAGCACTAATGGGAAGATTTCATTTCCCTATATTTCTCTATTAAGTCATTTTTTCTGCATTGAATAAAAAAGGAACATCCATATATAGCTTATCAGATAAAGGTGTGTCCTCATTAAGTCCATTAAGTCATTGTAGTATGAGAGATGTGCCCGATTATAACGTTGTGTTTTAATTTTTTTTTCCTATTAGGTAGCATTGAGTAGAATTTTCAAAGTCCAATGTTTTAATAGGAAGAAATAAAAGTACAATCCATAATAAACAAATCAATGGAAGCACATTGCCACTTTTTGCATTTAACCCAAATATTATGTGATATAATGTAACGTGATTTAGCAGTGTGAACTTAAAATTACACTTCTTGTCACTCCTATAATCCGAAAGCATTAAAAGCCATTAATTGTCTTTCTTAAACGGGGTTATTTCTGTAATTTACGCTTCATCTGCCTCTACTGCTACTGCTGACTATTTCAATGCAGGGACATAATCCTGTGAAGTTTCAACAAACAATGCCCTTTGTTAAAAGGCGAGAATCACCAATAAGCTATCTGTTAAAAAGGTAAAACATCTAATGAGAATCAATTTCAAGATTAATTCATTAACATAGAAACTGTATTCAAATCAGTGATTTTTGTTAAATAAATAAATATTTGGTGAGGACCTGCAACTTTATTTGGACCAGTCAACACGAGCAATGATATGTATGATAATCACATAGGGCTTGGTTTATCTTAAGGAATGATAGTTGAAAATAGTTCATAGAAACATAAAGGATATTTCTTGCATTTAACCTTGTTCTTTGTAATAAGAAGAAATGAGAGTAGTTCAAAGTTACCAACTTTTGATTACACAAATAATGATATATTAAGGACGAAAACATAACTTTAATTTCATAATTTTCAGAAAGGATAAAAAAAAGTTTTGACAACTTCCTAACAAATAAAATAGAACCAAGTTTACATTGATGAAATACATGTCTAGAAATCCTTTATTACTTTCTGGAGTTCATAATTGTAACATTAAAAAGATTTACTGAATCTTGATTAGTATAATCCAAAGTGAACAAATCTCATCAGGAAATTCATGCATGTAGTCTTGTTGTTGGGTTTCCCAAAGGATGTACATTGATATAGTAAAATCCAAATAGTTTAGAAAGACATTATCCTCAACACATATTTATTTGTATCTATATGGATGCCATATGGACATAGTAAATTTATAGAGACTAAAGCTTTGTATGAAAATTAATCTATTGTTCACAATGATGCTGACAAACACCAATTGAAAAGTAATCTAATGATAATGAGAATGAAAATGAATGCAATGCTGTTTAAGGAGAACTCAAAGAATATGTATACCCTCAACACTACAATGGGGGCATAGAATCTGTGGATATCTTTTCATTGGGGAATTTTGTCGAACACTTGGTGTTCATAAAAAAGAGAGGGCTCATCACTACTTCCCTGATCAATTTGTTGTTGCAAAGCATTACCACATTCAAAAAAAGATCGATGACATCAAAAAAGGTAAAATTAGCATCATAAAGAAAACCAATTTGTGACCTGATAAGATCACCAATAAAGAAACAAAGCGTCTCGTGGCTCATGCCTCAAGGATAAACCGGAAAAAAAATAGTTAGCAGTATTTCAAAAACTCAATTGCATCATCATCGGAGACTTTATTCTATCAATTGCATATGTGGGGAGGCAATGATGGTGAGTTGAAAACAAAGACGCACAACGACAGAAAGGTTTTTGTTTGTTTGTCATTGGATTTAGAAAAAAAAGTTAGCTTGTTTATATTTGGGATAATAACAAAAAAGCTTTTGGCTTTTTCTATTTTTACCAATTTAGCCCTTGCAAAATTTCTTTTTTTTTTATTTACCCCTTGCATTTTCATTTTTTTCGATTTACCACTATATTTTTTTTTTCATTTTTTCGGATTAAACCTTAAAATGAGGAAGTGCTTAGCCTATGGGTATGTATTGTTATCCTATTTCAGTGACAATAGTCTTTCTATTTTTGTGAAAAAGAATTTGCATCCCTAAAATATTCAAATTTCAATATTTAACAATGATATTTCTTTTTATTGTTCGATCTATTTAGCTTATTTGCTTTAAATCATTGACAATTATATTCGAAAAGAAACAGAAATTCTTATTTCTTATGATAATCAAATGTAGGCTTTACTGTAAAAGTAAAACTTGACTCAAATAATGATGTCGAAGTAGGAAACTTAACTCTTAGATTTGAGATTTCTCCACATGGTTGAAGCCAAAAGGTGAATGTGGTGTGCAGCATCGTTGGTTTCCTTCATTAAGATGGAAACCAGCCAATTAATGATATTGTATGAACTACAGAACGCGTAGGAACAAGTCAAATGTATAAGTGTATCATCTTTAATAATTAATAATCAAATGTGTGACAGTGTAAGGATTCACTTTAGGAAAGGATATACCTATATTCTAAATCAACCAATATGTAAGTTATCTTTATCTTTGTCCTTATGTGTTTAGGTCTTATAAAGAACTTAATAGAGCTCCAACAACTTGATTTGGAATGTACAATCTTAATGATTTGGCCTATGTTTCTTTATAGAGATTCAACATGTGATATCAACCGAATTGGTAATTTATTTTAATCGGCATTGCTTGGTTATATTTTGAAGTTGTTCCTTGGTCACAAAATTCTTCATGCTACTAGAAAGGATGTTAGAGTGGAAGTGGAGGAATGTAATAATTTTAGGGTATGTTCTCAAATTTGCACCTATAATCGTTATTATGATTTATTATACACTTTGTGCATTATGTGTAACGTCTATTTTTCTAGGTATTTGCTTTTAGAAACTTGATTTATGAAATGTTTGCAAAATGGGTCCTCAAAGGCTATTCCGTGACTTTTGGGTGCAGCTTGTGTACACTGGGCGTACACCTTGGTACGCTGGGCGTACAAGCCTCACGCTAGTATGTTGTGCGTACTTCTGTACCTGGGCGCGCGTGGTTTAGACCAAACCCCTAATGTCTAGGGTTTGTGCACTATTTAAACACCATTATGGCCACAAGACCTTTCCCTTTATCAACCTCCACCTCAAGTCCGACCCTCCTTGCAAACCCTAGTCCATTTTAAGCTTTTGAGTGAGTTGTGTGCTTCATTATGTGTGAAGAAGGGCCTTCAAGGAGTAGGCTTTCCTCTCAAGAGTTTGGATCCAACATCTTCTCTCCATTGTGCACCATTTAGAGGTGTAAAGCTCCAAACTTGGCTTATGTTTCTTTAGATCTTAGTTAAGCCTTTATTTCATCTTTATTCCTAAAAACCAAGAGTTTGGTGAGTAAGAATACTCCAAAGCATTTAAGGTGTCCTTTCAGACATTTTATGGCATTATAAGTCATAAAAACGCAAGCCTAGATCTTGATTTGTCCCATTCAAGAGTTATAGTGAAGGAAAAGTTTTGAGTAAGCTAGTTTTTTAGTTTTGGGCTTCTTGTAGCCATGAAAAGGC